GAGAGTTATTACAGGGATTGAGCTTTGAGTGCTGCCCATGTTCAGCCTCAGAGCAGTGCCCTGAACCAAGTGGCTTTTCCTGACCCCCTTTACTGACCTGAAACAAAGGAGCAGCATCCCTCCTAAGGACTTGCTGCAATGCCCTTTCTTGCCTGTTGATTTCTGTGTCTGTTTTGGAGCAGCAGTTGGCACCCAGCTCTAAAGAGGCTGCCACATGCAATTACAGAGAGAAGGTCTTGAAGGACACAGTGCTGAAGCAGAGAGACATTTGAAATAAACTTAAAGGGAACAGCTTTGTTTAGCTCTGTGCCCTTTGGCTGCCCTGTAATTCTTTATGTCGATTATAATAGAAAGATCAAATTTCTCATTTTCTCACCTCTGTATCTAGAGAAATGCAAAATTTCTTTCACTTGATCTCTTTGAGCCCTCCTTTCCCAGATTTGCTTACCAATACTTTGTCACTGTCACCTCCTTGATGATGACCTGCTTGTATTCATCCATGCATTCACAAGAGTTGCTCTGGTAAATAAAAAGGTCCTAGTTTCCAAATCTGCACATCCCAACAGCACTTAATTCATGGAGCAGCCTATTTCTGTCAGTTTTTCCTTCTGTCCAGGCTTGGCTATCTCTGCTGGATTTCATTAAAAATTAGCATGGATTTAATTGTGAATTGAGGGCCAGGATTTTCCCTATTCAAAGATATTCCATATTTTAAAGATATTCCCATCTTTGAAAACACAAGGAGCTCCAGAATGAGGGACCTCATTCCTCTGTACCAGGGATTATTATCCTCATGGCATTGCTGTGACTTTCTCCTTCTTGATGATGTGTGAGGACTCCAAGGACACAAGGAGGGCAGATGGGGGAAACCATCCCAGTGCAGTGTGAGGATTTTCCTTGCAGGCAGAGGGAGGTACAGCAGACAGGGGAAGCAGAGCCCTTCCCAAGGCCAGAGAGGATCCTCCTGCCATCCCCATCCCACCCTGGGAGCTCCCTGCCTTTCTGTCTGCCCATCGAGGCCACCTTGTGCTTATGAAGGGAAATGTGGCAGGGGGAACTCAGTGGCAGCAGCCTCTATCTACACTCCAGAATGGACACAGGTCCTGCCTCCAGCCTCACACTCACCCAATTCACACAGAAACCCTTTTCCCTCTTCAGTGCCTCAGTCCTGCAGCACAGGAATGGCTCAGGACATGGGGAGCAGCACAGGCTGTGCCCAGCACCCACCAACACAGACAGAACAGAACTGCAAAAGGCCAAATCCACATTATGCACTAGAGATTCTTCTACAATCTGCTACCAGGTCTTGGATAAGTCAAATCTTACCTCACAGCAGTTATCTCTGAGGAGTAACATGCAATAATCCATGTATACTTTTATTTTTAATCTTTAGCTGGTACTTTGTGAGACTGAACAAAGACAGAGATGTGTTGAGGATTCTACCAAGGGTGCATCTGTCTCCAGATGAAAGGATCCTGACATCAAACTGACTGCAGCTGGGCTGGGAAAAGTTTTAAATCACTGCGATCAACACAAGTTTTGCACCAAAGTACAAATACACATGGCATGATTTCCTCTGGGTGACAGGCAAATCCTGTTATTCTACTTATGAATGGGCCTCATTAAGTAGGAAAAAAAATTGTTGGTGCAACCTGTTCCTTTTTAAATTGAACATATTAAAGTTGATAGATACCCCTAATTCTCTGCTCAGGCTTTTATGTGTTGCAATAACACTGCTCCCATTGTTAGGGAAAGTCTTGAGTTTGCATAATCTGCTTTTCATTTCCCTGGCAGCTGCAGATCATTCTTGGTGACTAAATTAAAAACAGTTTCTTTCAAGAATCCACCAGATCTGTCCTTCTTTTTCCTCCCTGTACCTACAAGTTAGGGAGGAAAAAAAAAAAGAAAACAAAGCCTTCCCAACAAGCATTAAATCCTATCAAATCAGGCTGGAAGGTCACCTCATCCATCCCTCTGCCCTGAGGCAAAAATCAACTCTCCTTAAGCCATCCCTGACAGATGCTCACCTAACTCTAAAAAACATCCATTGATGATTTCACAGCCCATCCCTTGGCTTACCTCATGCCTGCAGGTCTGACCTCAATGGCTCTACAACACCCAAAGCTCCTCAGGGCTTGTCCTGTCCCCACTGAACTTGGGGAGATTATTTCTCCTTGCAGAAAAGTTCTTCTCACTTTGGAACAGACCTTAAGATGGGTGCCAAGCTTTCCCAGGCTTTTCACTCCTCTCATTTATTCCAAATATCTCTGTCTACTGTGATGGTGTTCACAGGGGTCTGAGGATGAGGGAAGAGATGAGGATCTGACTCCATGTTTCAGAAGGCTTGATTTATTATTTTATGACATATATTATATTAAAACTATACTAAAAGAGTAGAAGAAAGAATTTCATCAGAAGCCTAGCTAAGAATAGAAAAAGAAAGAAGAATGATAACAAAGGCTTGTGTGTTGGACAGAGAATCCGAGCCAGCTGACTGTGATTGGCCATTAATTAGAAACAACCACATGAGAGCAAAGATCCACCTGTTGCATTCCACAGCAGCAGATAACCATTGTTTACTTTTTGTTCCTGAGGCCTCCCAGCTTCTCAGGAGAAAAAAATCCTAAGGAAAGGATTTTTCAGAAAATATCATGGCTACAGTCTACAGCCATCAAAAGCTCAGCCCTGTTCCAGAGCCAGCACTCCAGAGCAGACAAGTCAAACACTCCTGAGCCCATTCCTGCTCCTGCTGCAATTCCTGTCCCACAGGACCCACTTATCCAATACACAGGACTCTCACTACATTTCCCCCTTTTTCTATTACTAACAAATGTATTCAAATACAATATAGATATTCAAGTACAATATATTCATTTCCTTACAATACATGTTTTATCCTGAGACTCAAAGG